ACAACTCCCAGTTCATTCATTGGACAGTGTAGATTTCTGCTAAGCAACGTCAGTGGTCATAGAATCATTGGATCCTAGATTTGGAAGAGACTCCAAGGACCATCTAGTCCAATTCCATTCCTCCAGGCAGGGAGCTCACAACAGCCTTGTGAGGTAGGCCAGTTACAGCATTTATCTGGTGATGGGGCTGAGCTGAGGCCTAGCTATCTACATACACAAGGGATTGGAGGGAGCCCTGCCATAGCCACCCACAAAGAGTGGAGCTCTCCTTTTCCAACCCCCCCTCCTTCCCCTCTTCTCAGCAAAGCAAGGTGTGACCTTAAAGCAAGCAGGCTGCCTTTCTAGCTGTCCTCTGTGAGCTGCCCCCATTACAAGGCTGAGCATTTGCAGGGGCAAGCCGGGTGGGATGGGGAGGGGGATCGGGGAAGGAAGACCCTCAGCTTGGTAGGAAAAGGGGTCGGGCTAACCTTTCCCCGGCCCTTTGAGCCCTTTTTGATTCATGCCTGCAAACAGAGGCAGGTCAGGAAGAGTCATCCATCCCCTGCCCCCTTTTCCCACTCCATTCACCCAGATGGAGGAATTAGAAAAGACTTGGGGGTAACAGGAAAGACTTTCAGTTTGGGATCAAGCTGGATGGGAGTTGCAATCTCAATGGAAGGTGTGCAAAATGAGAGTGCAGGAGATCCCAATCAAGTGTGAGCTTCAGTCTCATTTTCTGAAAACAGCCCAGAGGCATCCATCCAACTGTATTTGGATGGGAAGTTTCATTGGGGAGGAGGAAATGCTTAGGTCATGTGGCCAGCATGACATTATATTACTATTATTACTATAATAATATATAAATTATATATATAGTAGTAGTAATTTTTTTTATATATTATATATATATATAATATATTATAATATAATATATAATATATAATAATATATTTATATATATATATATATATATATATATATATATATATATATTACTACTACTATTATAAGATATATTTTAACTTTGTGGTTTTTTATACATTCTAGCTGTATTTTCAATTTGCTTCTGACATGATAAATAAATAAAATTATATGATTATTATTATTCCCATTATTATTACCACTATTATTATAATAATTATTATTATTGCATCTCAGGACTGGAAGCTTTGTATGTTTCAGATCCCTGCTCTAGGGACTGATGGGTCAAGGTTCTAGCATAGGACCAGAGCCTAACATCCATCTTTCATTGGACTGCAATGGCTGGGGCTGATAGGAGTTGCAGTCCCATTTAGAGAACGGCACATTCCCCAAGGACTCAATTATGGAAAATCACTGGTGTGACCTTTGTGGAAGTCACACACTCTCAACCTCAGAGGATAGCAAGGGCCATATGTCTTTAGAACCAACCTTGGTGCCCAAACCCCAAATCCCCTCACGCCTCTTATATAGCCTTCCTGGAAGGCAACCGCTGGCAGGAGAAATTTGTTGCAGCTGTGCACACAAATGAAATCATTAGGAAAACTTTTTTTAAAAAAAAATGGAATAAAATACAATCTGACTGCAGGTCCCTCTCTATGATTTGCTCCCTTTCAAATGGAGTTTTGCCATTGATTTTCTTGGGGGATGGGGCCCCAAATTAAATGGCTCTGGCACCTTTCCTGAGACCAATTGAGCTTCTACCAATATAGAAAACCCAAGATTTTCAAGATACTCTGATTAATAAGGAGGTTGACGTCACCTGTAAGCGTATGCTTCCAGATGGCCAGCAAGACTAGGGCCCCTTACACACAGCTCTATAAAATCCACATTGTAGTGGATTATAAAGCTGTGTGTACTCAGATAATCCACTTCAAAGCAGATATTGTGGATTATCTGCCTTGATATTCTGGGTTATATAGCAATGTGGAAGGGCCCATGGTTGCTTTAAACTCTCCTGCTTCAATGCCAAGTCTTTGGAGAAGGCTTGTTCTTGAATAAGCAATGTAGGGTCCTTAGATTGACAAAAGACCAGCTCCTGGCCCAGATGAACAGCTTTCCCAATTATATCTATGTCTGCCTATTGATTCAAGATGTCTTCATTTGTCAGGCAACCACCAAAAGGCATTGGCCTTCTAGGGCCCCTTCCCACATTATCTGCTTTGAACTGGAATATATGGCAGTGTGTACCCAGATAACCCAGAGACCTTCCACACAGCCCTATATCCCAGAATATCAAGTCAGAGAATCCCACAATATCAGCATTGAACTGGGTTATCTGAGTCCACACTGCCATATAAGCTAGTTCAAAACAGATAATGTGGGGTTTTATTCAGCTGTGTGGAAAGGCTCTCAAATAATGTGGGATTTTCTGCCTTGATATTCTGGGATATAGGTCTGTGTGGAAAGACCCCCTGCTCCTTCAAGTCCTGGTATGATTACACCTTCAGGATTTGAGGAATAATGTGTTTGTTGAGTACAATAGGGGACTAGGTCCTATTTGACCACCTTTGGAAATAGCTCCTAAGACATCATAACATGTACATGGAGGAAGGAAGGAAGGAAGGAAGGAAGGAAGGAAGGAAGGAAGGAAGGAAGGAAGGAAGGAAGGAAGGAAGGAAGGAAGGAAGGTTGTCAGACTGCTGCCAATGACCAATTAGGGATACTTGGAAAGAAGAGAAGGAGCGAAGAGAGTGGGGAAGAGAGTCCAAAAGGAACCCAGATAAACCTGGCTTTATCAGCCTATAAAAATACCACTTTCACTTATCGGCCAGGCCTTTCGCTTCCCAGTTTTAGTGACATAGCTTTGGGAACCCTTCAAAGGATGCATTCGACATCCCCTTGAACTGCCCCGACTCTATGGGGTCCTGGGAGTTGAACTGCATTGTATGGTCGGTATAGACCCAGGCTGGATCTACACTGCCCTATATCCCAGGATCTGATCCCAGATTATTATTATTATTGTGTTTCTGTTTATTTATACCTTGCTTTATCCCTCCCAAAGGAGACTCAAAGTATCTTACGATGAAAGGTTATCTGCTTAGAACCAGGTGAGATGAGGCCCCTTCTACACTCCATATAAATCCAGATTATCTGCTTTGAACTGGATGATGTGGAAGTGTAGACTCCTGTCATCCAGTTCAAAGCAGATAACGAGGATTGTCTGCTTTGATAATCTGGATTATATGGCAGTGGAGAAGAGGCCGGAGTCTCCACTGCCAGATAATCTGGGATAAGAAAATAATCTGGGATCAGATCCTGGAATAGAGGGTAATGTAGACCCATCTCAATATAATGCACTTTGAACTGCATTGTATGGTCGGTATAGACCCAAATAATGGACATTATTATTATTATTATTATTATTATTATTATTATTATTATTATTATTATTTAGAACTGCATTATATGGTCGGTATAGACCCAAATAATGGATATTATTATTATTATTATTATTATTATTATTATTATTATTATTATTCAGAACTGCATTATATGGTCGATATAGACCCAAATAATGGACACCATCATCATCATTATCATTACTTTGAACTGCCATTATATGGTCGGTATATACCCAAATAATTGATATTATTATTATTATTATTATTATTATTATTATTATTATTACTTTGAACTGCATGATGTTGTCGGTATAGACCCAAATAATGGATATTATTATTATTATTATTATTATTATTATTATTATTATTATTATTATGAACTGCATTATATAGTCTGTTTAGACCAGGCATGGGTAAACTTTGGCATAGACCCAAATAATGGACATTATAATTATCATTACTACTACTTTGAACTGCATGATGTGGTCGGTATAGACCCAAATAATTGATATTATTATTATTATTATTATTATTATTATTATTATTATTATTATTATTAACTGCATTATATAGTCTGTTTAGACCAGGCATGGGTAAACTTGGGCATAGACCCAAATAATGGACATTATAATTATTATTACTTGGGTATAGACCCAATTAATGGACATTATTATTATTATTATTATTACTTTGAACTGCATGATGTGGGCGGTATAGACCCAAGTAATTGATATTATTATTATTATTATCATCATCATCATGAACTGCATTATATAGTCTGTATAGACCAGGCATGGGCAAACTTGGCCCCCCCAGGTGTTTTGGACTCCAACTCACACAATTCCTATCAGCCTACCGGCTGTTACGAATTATGGGAGTTGAAATCCAAAACACCTGGAGGGCCCAAGTTTGCCCAAGTATAGACCCATATAATGCACTCCGAACTGCATTCGATGGGTCTATGTCACATGAAATGTCAGTGTAGATCTAGCCAGAGGTGAGTGTTTAGTCACCTCAGTAAAAAGCCCTGAAGCTATGGGTCTCCTCTATAACATACCTAAAAGTCAATGTTTCGAAATATAGGGAAGGTTATGGAAGTGAAGGCTTGGGGCCCTTCCACATAGGCATATAACCCATAATATCCAGGCAGAAAATCCCACAATATCTGCTTTGACCTGGGTTATCTGAGTCCACACTGCCATACATTCCAGTTCAGAGCAGATAACGTGGGATTTTATTCAGCTGTGTGGAAGGGGCCGTGGAAACAGAGGTGAATGGTGAGTTGACACCTCAGTCGGTAACCCTGACTGGTTGGGTCTCCTCTCAAAGCCCACCTAGGGCATGGTCTGGGTCTGGAGGGTTTGGAGACCGAGGTGAAGGAGAAGTTGACCCCTCTGGTTTTCAATGGGTCTCCTCTGTCCTGGAGGAATGGCCTCGCTCCTTTCCTGCCACTTCCAGCAAGGACCCGAAAGCCTGGCCTCCCCCCTCAAAAAACCCGACACTTTGGGGGCAGCCCCTTTCCTCCTCCTTCCTGGCTGGAAGTGTGAAGGCATTCCAACGCTCTGGTCTTTCCTTTCGGGGGAAAGGGGCCTGAGGACTCCCACTGAGGGTTCAGGCCGGGAAAAGGGACCTTGGAAAAGAGGGAAAAAACGGCCTTAACGCGGTTTCTCTCTCTCTCTTTCCTTCCTTGCGTTGCAGAGAAGTTTGGCTTTCCCATTGCCATCCCTGCGCCGTCGTCTCTGGAAGCCAAAACCTGGATGGGAAAGTAAG